TGTGAGGAAGCTCCAACTGCTAGCACCTCTACTTTCAGCGCCCTCTTCTGGCTTCCAAGGGCAACATACCCACATGCACATATATATGTGTCAGAGAGAGAGAGAGAGAGAGAGAGAGAGAGAGAGAGAGAGAGAGAGAGAGAGAGAGAGAGAGAGAAAAAAGAAAAAAATCTCCTTAAAAAAAGGATAGCTTCTTCTTATACACCCTCTTCTCTTTCCACTGGGCATTAGTTACCCTAGGATAACCCCTTTGCATTTAAATGTTTTTCTGTCAGTAACTGTCAAATACATATGTTCTTTTGATCTGTGGTTTAACAACAACAAAAAACTAAAGCAACTTTTCGTTTTTTAGTGACGTCTATGATAGGCTGTCGATCAGGATCAAATAAGCATTACCCCAGGGGGAAAAGATGAAATGTTTAGAGAGCAGTGTAGTACAGCACAATCATAAATAATTCTAGGGTGGTGGGTCAAGATGGAGTCAGCTGGACTCAACTCTCTTACGATATGTGTGGCACCAATCTGAAACATCTTGCCATGTTGTCCCACCCTTCAAAACCTCGAGAAGGGCTGAGTGGTGGTGCCTGGCTGTGTTTAAGCCCAGCTGGCCTCTGGTGGCTAGATGGAGAGCACCCAAGATAAGGGTAGGGATGACCTTTAGCAATCAGCATCTCTGAAATATTACCCCATCTGTTGCTGTTCATCATCAGTAACCCCGTGCCCCATGCACCTATGCAGAAGGCTAGGTTGGAAAAGGAAAATATGAAGAAACTCATCTTAAAGTTCTCTCTTAGGCGATCTGATAGTAGGTGTGGGCTGCACCAAAGATGTAAAAAGATCCATGGAAATAAAGGTCTCCTGTGAGTGTTCCAAGGAGAGGAGAGAGGGAAAGACTTGTCCCTTGGACAACACAGGACCTGCCAAGTGCTTCCACATGTGTAGCTCAAAACTTCCCCTTTGCCAATGGGACTGTTTTCACTTCCACAAATAGAAAGAGCAAATATTGACAGTGCCTTGAGGAAGCAGCCAATGAAAGAGCCAGATCCTTAGGGAAGAACTTAAGAGAGAACAGGTCATTAGGGTCCTCAGCAAAAGCTAGAAATACACGGATACACAATTACATCACTTCATGGTGGGTACGGAAAACGCAAAGCCCCAAAGTAAGTTCCTCTACTGAAACTCAAGTGAGTAACTCACTGTGCTACAGATTAGGTGGGAGGCTGACTCACTGGAGCTCAACACAGTCACTTTTAAAATTTAACCTCAGAATCCAAAAGACAGCCACTTAACCATTTATTAGAAGTATTTTTAGTTCACCAGACAGAGCTCACAAGATGTGGGTCAGTGCTGCAGACAGAAGAGAAAGGGGTTGCTTCAGGGACCGTGGGCGCTGGGCACTTGGTGCTCCAGAATAACTAGTTATTTTAATCATCTTATGAAAACATTCAAGCCAGTGACAAAGAGGTCACTGAATTGTTTGGTCATGAACCAAAGTAGCCACGGACTCCACAGTGGTCACAGCTCCTCACAGAAGGCTAGACACCTAGAATGAGTGCAGCTCATCCTGGAGGCCCTTCTTCAGCCTGGAGTGTTTTCTCTGACCCAAGTGTCCACATGAAAGCCAAGCTCTTCCTGTCAGTTTTAGACACTTATGTAAGCAGTCTTTCCTGAGTGCCGAAGCCTATTTTCTCTCCTCAGTCCATTTCTTTACGTTCAGGCTGCTTGGGAAAAGTTGGTCATCTCTGAATCGGCAGTTGTAGCAGAAATATTAAATATCATTGTGTAATAAAAAAATTAAATAGTAAAAGAAGAGGTCAATCTAAGTTCATTTCCACTGTCCACCGATCCCTTCACTATGTGCAGAATCACTGGCTCTCAAACTGGAGAATAGAAAAAAAATACACTTTTAAAAAATTTTTATTGATGTAAGCAAAATAGACTGTAAATGTGTTCTATGTCAGAACCCACTGAAGATACTAAAGACACAGAAACATAAGTGGACTGGGGTTGGGCTTAGTTGTGGAGAACTTGTATAATAGGGCTGAATCTCTTGGTCAATCCCCCCTACACACACAGATACATACAGATACACACACACACACACACACACACACACACACACACACACACATGCAGGGAAGATCACTCAGCAGTTAAGAGCACTTGGTGCTTCTTGCAGAGGACCTGGGTTTGGTACCCATACCCACAGGATGGCTCACAACCATCTCTAACTCCAGTTTCAGAGGGTATGATGCCCTCTTCTGGCTTCTACAGGCATTGCACACATGTAAAGGTAAAATACTCATATGCAAAAATTTTAATCTAAAATAAATCTTAAAAAGAATGAGAACTAGGTAAACTTCAAGGTAGTGCCATTGGTAACAGGACAGATGGAATAAAAAATTCAAAAGAATGTAAATTAGGTTGAAGAGATGGTGCATCAGGTAAGATATTTGCTGCCAACTCTGATGACCTGAGGTTGATCTCTGGGACCGACATAGCAGAAGGGAAGTGACTCTTGCAAGTTGTTCTTTGGTTTACACACATGTACCATGGCACACATGTGAACTCAAAGAGATAAATGTACTAAAAAAAAGAAATAAGAACGAAATAGCCTGAGAAGTTAGACTGCTAGAGAGAAGAGATTTGGAAACACAAATTGCAAGGACTCCCTGAGGAGGATGAGGCCCAGCACCAGAGAGCTGCCAGGATATCAGAGTAGAACATGTGGAGAGCAATCAGTCCAGCACACAGGAAGGTGATGCTAAGAGCCACCAGGGTGCATTAGTGGGAACTCAGGACCAGGTACATCATGTGGAGGAGGGTTAGAGTAGAGACAGCTAATCTCCTTTAAATGAGACTCCATTTCACTTATAGTGATTCAACTTGGGTGACACCTCAGAAATGGTGGAGGAAGAACCTTTAAAAATATTCTTGTGCAAAACAAATAAAAAAAATAACTCTGGCAAGAACCAAAAAACAAAACAAAAACCAAACCGAAATAACAACAACAACAAAACCAACCACCCAACCAATGAAACAAAATCAACTCATAAAAATTACCTTTTTAAAAAACAACAACAAAAATGAACAACCATTCTTGGTGCACTTAAGGAAAATGGTGGTGCCTATGCTCCTCAGGGCGTGTGAAGCTGAGCCGTCTGCCCCTTTTCTTCATAATTCCAAGGAAGGCTTTAGAATCAACTGCCTTAAAAGACAATATCCATGAGAAACAGCTGTCTGCCAATTCCTGGAGGTAGGACATAGGTTTGAAGTCCTTCTGGAAACCACACACACAGATATATCATAGTTAACCAGTTTTTGAAAACCCAGGAAAAGCTCCTTTTCCGGAATTTTCAATTATTTCAGCTCATTTTGTGTATAAACAGCTCTGTCTCATGGGCATTTGTCAAAAATAAATTAGCAGCAGTTATCCAGTATCGCAGCTATCAGTAAGGGTAATGAGTTGGGGCAAACAGCAACTGCCTAAAAATCCTAAAGGAACAGAGCAGAAAATGAGAGTATGCACAGAGAATGTATGAGAAGGGTCAATACAGCTCTAGGAATCTAGAAGGCAGGATGCCTAGGATGACAGTGTATACATCTAGAAGGCCTGAGATCATTCAGGCTCTTACTTGGGCTGATCCTGAAGCACTGTGCAAAGGGTAAACTAAGGCTAACTTTCATAGTAATCTGCCTTTCAGGACATGGACATAGACCTCAGTATGTAAAAAGACCAGAATCCTCAACGATTCAAAACATTTCAGAAAGTCTCTGGCCATCATTGGCTGACCATTGAACTAACTGAACAGGAACTTCTGGGGACACATATGGCACTTTTAATACAACAGGAGTCATCTCTGGACAATGTTATCACCACTACCATAACAGTAGGATGAATATTCAGGAAGCTCAATAGAACCCAGATAAATAGAATCACAGCTATACACACCAGGTCAAACCTCAATGACAATGACAAAGATAGACTATGGAAAGCAGCTAAAAGAAGGTGACATAAAACTGACTTCTCAGCAGAAACTATGGAGACCAAGTCTATGGAAAGGTACGGGACCACCTCCTTCTGTATGGTTCATCAGGGCTGGGGGAGTCCCAGAAGTAACCTGAATTGCACAGGCCAAAGGCTAATGCTCTTGGTTGTCCACCAGAAATCAATGATAAGATGCTATTTCTGACGAGTCTATGTAGTTTGGATGCAGGACACAGAGAAATCAAGCTGTAACTAAGCCAGTGCTTCCTCCCTGCTGGCTAGGTTTCAAGTCTGGAAGGAAGGTGATTAGTACGATGTTGGGCGGTGGGGGTGGGGAAAGAGCCATCAGTAATCTTATCCAGCTGTGGAACCTACAAGCTACACTACCAGCCTGCCAGGCAAGAGGTGCCTCTGGCATAGAAGTATGACGGTGATGAAATAATCAACAGTCTGCTGATTGGACTGAAGCCTGCTCCACAGGAGGAATCAAGGCTGATACTGTAAACTTGCTCCAAAGCCAGTGCTGGGGAGATTTTCTTTCTGAAGCAAATCTAAAGCATCTAAAGCTAGACTTTGGAATTACAGAACTGAACTTTTCCTAGTTCCCATGAAACCTTGAAACCAGCAGTTACCCACCCAACAGTCTCACTAGGTCCTGGCTTCCTTCTGCTCCACAGCCTCTTCCACACACGGCTCTGACTGGGAGCCATAGGCAATGGGGAGCTGGGAGTGTTTATGGCTTCTATCAGGTGTCCACAGGGCAGGAATGTACAGCAGCTGAGCCTCTGGGGATGCTGAGTATGGGAAATAACTAGAACCTCCTCAGTGAAGGTTAAGCAGGCCAGGTTTTCAGATGCCCTTGGCTCTGTACAGGCCAGAAATTTTCTCAAACAGTGAGGAACGAACCAATCTCACCCACTGAAGACTGGGAGCTGTTTCTATACCTTTTCTATTTGCTTTCGATTGTTCTATTTTTCTATTTTCTTTCATTTTCTATTTGTTCCTACTGCAGGCAGCCGAAGCCTTTTGTCCTGAACAAGCAACGAGGATACAGTCGCGGTTTTCTCGCCTGGAATATGAGTGATTATGAAGACATCGAACAGAGAAACTCTAAACGGGCTATTCTCGTTAAACAGAGTAAGTTACTAAGGAGCACCGCACCCTCCAGGCTGCCTAAGCTGCCAAACAAGGAAGAGAAGGTAAGCTGCCATGTTCCTGAATTATCCCTAGAAAAGCCCTGCTGAGACTGGAGAGTGTAATTTGATTCTAATAGTGTCATAATTCCCTTTAACATATCAACCAGATTGTGATCCAGATTAGCTTTCCCCTGCCAGTGTCCACTGTGTTGGGGAGCTGGGTATGAGTCTCATTTTATAGCGTAAGAAAACAGGAGGGTGTGTGGTCCTGACCCTACAAATGTTTATCCATGACATGGTTTGACCTGCAGAGAACGGACAGGCCCTAATTTCCACAAGCTGAGAAAACAGTCTGTACAATGAAGGCAAACCTGTAACTCCCCTGCAAACCCTGCACACGCTCAGAACATTAAGAATACACCAGCTCACTCTCCTGACTCCCGCCCCGCACCCCTGCTTAGTGCCTACAGGATCCTAGCAAGCTGTGTCAGTACCTTACATGGGCTTTTAAGAATAAATAAGATGGGAACATCAGGTACTTTCCTGAATTTTTGGAGAGGGAACATGAGAATCAAGTAAAGGACGTGTAATCATACAGTCTTCTTCGGAAATCTGTGTAAAAAATCCAATCTCCTCTCTGGACCTTCTGAACAATCCCACAGCACAATGCACTTTGTCACGATCCAGCATTTAACAGAATCTGACAGAAAGGAAACTAGAATAGCTCACACCCATTTGGACTCCTGTTCTGTACTCAGAGAATCATCCTGTTTCCCTGAAGAAGAGTCTTCAGAACTCATTCGCACGGATCTTACCATGCTTCCAAGATGGCGATCTGGCCGAGAACTTACCATGCTTCGCCATCTTGCTCAGCAGCCGTTACTATCACCTGGTAGAAGCATTCCATGAGGGAGCTGAATTTGTCCTCCTGGGCCCAGAGACACTTTGTGTTGAAAATGGGAGTAGTTCAGGTGCTAGCCTCCACCTGTGGGCTGACTTTTGGGAAGGCAATGATTTTGAGGTAATGATCCACATTGATTGACATAAGCTGGACTCGTTACATTATTGAATGCATTTTGAGTATAACCACACATTAGTTCCAAACACCACCTATCATCCACTAAATCTAAATTAAGCCTTTATGTTTTGCATTAAAGTTTTTGCTAAGAAGGTTTTTTTTAACTTTTAAATGGTTTAAAATTTACAGTGGAAATTTTGCAAGAACAGCCTTATATACTCTTCTTCCAGACTCATCAATTAAGTTTTCTTGCTTTGATATATTTTCTTCCTTACTCTAAATATATGTATATATGTATATACCACCCCCTGGGTGACATCTGAAGGCAAGTGCAGACACAATATCCATTTATTTCCTGACACTTTAGGATGTACTCCCTAAGAACAAAGATGTTCTCTCATACAACCATGGGTACAGTTTTAAGATTTAGGTCTACAATTCATGATCAAATTTTACTGACTCATGGTAGAGCCATGCATCATATTTAGTTATCTGTTTAGTTTCTCCCCGTTTGTGTCTCAGTCTTCATCTGTGTCTTTGAAGGCTGTAGGGAAGCTTCTTGGCATGTTTTCTCCAGGTGGGCTCATCTGCTGTCTCCATGCAGGCTGACTCAGATTGTGTGCTATGCACAGGAAACTCTGACACATGGTGTAGCACCAGGTGTGGGAGCAGCGCATCCTCAGTGAGCACACACAGCCATGTCCTTTCTAAAAATATATGTCATTCAAAGTAAACTTTTCATCAGGCAGGCTTTCTCTTCAAATTTCAGAGTGTAGAAACTCATTACCTGCATCTGGTTGCTTGGAGGGTCTCAGAGTTGTGGGCATTTGAGAAAACTCTCAGCTCCTTTTTGTGTAACTCCTCTTTGTGGAACTAACTCCAAGCAACCATTCTTACATATTCAAAAGCCAATAATGAATACAACATGTGAGAAGCACCCTCACACCGCCGCCCACTCTGGCAACAGTGAATGCTGGCAGTCATTACTGTTAGAGAGAGGCTGAGAGACCGCCATGTCTCCCACTCTTTCTTTTGAGACAAGGTGTCATATAGCCCAAGCTGACCTCAAACTCACTACACAGTTGAAGATGACCTTGAACTCCTGACTCTCCTATCTTCGACTCTAGAGTGATAGGATTAAAGCAGGTGCCACCATGCTGGCATAGCTCCCATTCTCATGCTGAAAGAACTATAATTGTACCAAGAGTCATCAAGAAGTAAAGACCTGTCCTTGTCCCAGTATTACACAGCTTCTCATCTGGAGAAGGTCGGAATGTTTGATTATTTGTGCTATTGGATGTAGTTCTCTACTTACAAACTTGAGAGCTTAATTATATTATTTGTTAAAAAAAAAAAAGAAAAGAAAAAGGTACAGGTTCAGGTATTTAACAGTATGACACATTCTTGTACACATTTACTTAGAATGCACTAACAAATGCTTTGGAATTCAATTGGGCAAAAGTGTTTTCCCCCATTAAATTCCTTTCTTTTTAAACATTACAAACGTCTCTCAAGTTCTATCTTTTCTTGCATTTGTTATCCTTCCATCTTGATCTTTTTCTTCTCAGTAAGTAGTAGTGACCTACATGTTGTAAAGCCTATGGCATAGAACACCATTCATTTCCACTTCATTCTTGGTTTGCCAGTATTCTTGAGACCCTCTAAATTCCAGTGTACTAATGTAACCTCAGGGGCTGATGTATTCTTTTTTTTTTTAATATTTCTTTTACTTCATGCATTTTTTCTGTCACTGCCTTTGAAGCACAGGAATAGTCTCAGATGTTAATGTGCACACGAGCCCCGGGTGACCAAATTCAGATGCAGATTATGGCTCAGTAGGTCTGTAGTGTGTCTGCTGTTCTGCATTTCTGTCCAGTTCCCAGGCAACACATGATCTGAGGAACTTGAATCCCAGGGTGCCAGAGGACTTGACCATGAATTCAATTTTGGAACAGATCAGAAGAGGGATTGGTTGGACGAGGAGCCAGAGGAGGCTGGGAGGGCAAAGGCAACACTAGTCTTCAGGAGAGTGCAAGGACTTCAATACGGCTGTGCATTAGAGTGAAAAGAAGCAGGGCGCAGTGAAGCATGCCATGGCCTCAACTACTCAGGAGGCTGAGCGGGGAGATTCACGTGAGCCTAGGAAACTGAGGCCAGGTTTGGCTGCACGGTGAGATCCCATTTCTTAAAAATTAAGAAATAAACTGGTGGTAGAGGTTTGGTCATCTCAGCTACTCAGGAGTTTGAGGCAGGAGCTTGCCTGGATAACAAGTTCAAGGCCAATAAAGACCTTATTTCATAATAAAAAAAAATGAGGGTGGAGATAAAGCTCAGTGGTGCCTACCATGCTTGATGAACGGGGGTGTGTTGTAGACATACAGACTACCTGGTGCTGATGCTGATGCTGATGAGCCAACTCACTTCATTTCAGTCTGTGATGCTAAAGCCCTTGGGGGTTATCGGGCTGCTGTTTAAAGAGTAGAGTGACAGGATCAAATCATTTTAGCAAGGCATGGAAATCAACACAGAGGAGAATTTGGTTAGAATTCTTTGGTATGAAATGGAGGTGAGTTTGCAGAGCATTACGGTAACTCAACTAAAAATAGGGAAGGGTTAAACTGAGAAAGAGAGGAAGAAAAATGATAAGCAGACAGAATTGGACCAGCACACTCTGGGTATGGGAAAATGCTGTTATAGGAATGAGGGGGTATAGGCTGCACCCTCAGAGCTCAGCGAGAGAAGTTTGGAGGAGCCTGGTAGAAGAACAGAGGAGAAGTCTACAGGATGGGGTTAATTGTGCTATTTATTATGTGAAAGACAACAGCCAGGCTTAGTGATTGTCTTAGTTAGGGTTTCACTGCTGTGAACAGACACCATGACCGAGGCAAGTCTTATAAATGACAACATTTAACTGGGATTGGCTTACAGGTTCAGAGGTTCAGTCCATTATCATCAAGGTGGGATCACGGCATCGTCCAGGCAGGTACAATGCAGGCAGAGCAGAGAGTTCTACATCTTCATCTGAAGGCTGTTAGTGGAAGACTGACTTCCAGGCAGCTAGGGTGAGGGTCTTAAGCCCACACCCACAGTGACACACGTACTCTAACAAGGCTACATCTCCCAATAGTGCAACTCCCTGGGCCTAGCATATACAAACCATCACAGTGATTCATGTTTGTAATCCAAGCACTTGGGAGGTGGGAGGGAGGAGGATAGTCACAAGTTCAATGCTAGCCTGGTCTGCACAGCTAGTTCGATCCCAGCAGGGACTAGACAGTTGGGAGAGGAGAAAAGAGGTAGACAGAAGAGACATTTCATATAAGCTGGCATTATACTATCTGGCTCCGACCCAAGTCCATTTTACTTATAAGCACCACTGGATTAATCTCTTCAGTACCTGTATCTCAGGGGACCTTTGTGCACATTTGGAGGAGACACAGGAGTGTTCATGATAAGTATCTGGCTCATGTGACTGTAGGAGCTAGAAAATTCATCGCTTATAGGACTGGCTGGCAGGCTGGGCCAGAAAAAGATGGATGCCGTAGCTTGGATGGGGATGCAGTTGGGAGTGGGGGCAGTCTGATTTTTTTTTTTTTAAAAAGATTTATTTATTTTATGAGTACACTGTAGCTGTCTTCATGCACATAAGAAGAGGGCATCAGATCCCATTATAGATGGTTTGTGAGCTACCATGTGGTTGCTGGGAATTGAACTCAGGACCTCTGGAAGAACAGTCAATGCTCTTAACCACCAAGCCATCTTTTCAGACTGGCTCCTTTGATTCAAAGAATCTGCTTTAGTCAATCTACTGATTTAACTATAATCTAAAAAAAAAAATACCCTCACAGCATGACCTATATTGGTATCTGAGTAGTATGGCCTAGGCAACTTGACAAACGTCATCATCACAGCACCTATTTCAGCCAGCTGTGAAGATTAAATGATGTGACACAAGGGTCTATGTAGTAGGAAATCAGACGGGAACACAGAGTCTGCTGTGTGTACTCAAGGCCTTAGGATGGCATGACTTAAAATGGCTTCCAGATAGACAGAAGCTGGGCACTTTGCTCTCTTTTCCAGCTTGAAAGGTAGACTGAGGCTGAGAAAGCTGAGAAGGGGGACACCAGACACTGCAGCCAAGAGGGCTGGTGCCCCAGGCACAGCCACAGAGGGGAAGGCCCAAGGAGGTCCAGACCCTGGCCTAATCCGTTCCAGAAAGGCCTTGTGTGAGGGCAAGTGCTCAGGTACTGAATCCCAGATTGACAAAAAGGTTCTTGTCCTTGCCACAAAGCCAGCTGAAGGTGACAACCATGCTGGTACCCGGTGGATATAAGTGGCACCCAAGTACCTGGCTACTGTCCTACTGAAGATGTGCCATGGAGCTGTCGAGCTGTGGCAAAAATCTCTCCGTCAGCATGTGAGGAAGTGGCTTGTTGGTCCTGGGAGTTGTTCTCTCCTTCCGCAACCTTGTGGGTTCTGGGGCTCTAACTTAGGTCATAAAGTTTGGCAGCAAGTACCCATACCTGTTGAGCCATTGCCCTGACCCCTGGATATGCTATGTAAACACATACACTTTGGAAGAGCTTACATATGAAGAGGTGGAGAGATGCCTATGTGTATGCACAGTGCTCCATGCAGGCAAGGGGTACCGCTGCTCACTGACAGGTATGCACCGTACTGGTGTCCTCATCTTACAAGAGCCACAGCTGCTGCTGAAGTTTCCAAAAGTCCATCAGTTTGCAGTAAAGATCAAGTGGCCACTTGTTAAAATCCTTACAAAGTAAATCCATAACCCCAGGATTGACAACAGTTACATTCCTGGAAAATTCACCATATGCTAATGTCAGGTAGAAACTACAAATGCTCAGCTTAGATCATTAAAAACAGATTTATTACATCAGTGAATGTCAGGTAGGGCAATTAAAGGTCACACAGACTGGCTCTGGGGGTATTCCCTGGGGCTCCAGGATGTGTCTCCTGACATTCCTGACCCAAAGCTCAACAGTGTGCTGGGGCAGTGGTCTCACTCAGCAATGCTAATCAAAACCTCCCTGCACTTCCAGAGTACTGACATATAATGACCCTGATTCACCATAAGTCACTGAAAGATTCTGTATTTGATTAAACGCAACAAACAAATCATGCAGCACCAGGAAAATAAGCAAGATAAATTCAAAAAGTTTATTGCACCAAATGTCACAGAAAAATGGATCGAAATAATGCATGAATGTTATTTTAGGAAAAAGTTTCCACACACTGACAGTTGGATCCACTCAACTGACTTAAAAAACAGTCCTATCCATTCTCTTAATGAAAGATCAATAATAACACACCCCAGAATGGTCTCCTTTTTAAAACACTGAAATTTAAACATAATGCAAATACATGTTCCAGATGCTCACCAAATTTTAACATTTTAAAAAATTAACATTTGAAGGGGGCTGCTTGATTTAGGCAAGAAGTGTGTTCTTCTCTACCAAGCACAATAAAAACAAAGGGTCCACATTAACTGAGAGAAGCTGTGGACCTTTTCAATTTAATGATGAAAGTCTGCGTGAACATAATCCCCGAGTGTGCATCAATGGAAAACTCCAGACATTTAAAAGCATTTGAGAGTTGTTTTATATTCTTTATGTACATCCAACTAACAGAGAACCTAAAAAGCTACAGACTAGTTTATAAAATCCAAAGACCTGATATTTAAGAGCCCAGACAACAGTTTAGCATCATTTAGCAAGCGGGGAATTTCTTCCTTCCAAAAAAGTTAGTTCTGAAAACCACAGTAATTTAAAAAGTTGCGATGTGTAAACCAGCTCCATGAGGTGTGAGAAGATGAGTTACTTCCCGTATAAAACAGCACGCGTCTGGAAAATGGGCTGAAGCTGTACAAAAGCTATTTAACACTGATAAAATAAGATACTTTGGAATTATGCACAAGTATGGAAGCTACATATTAAATTTTCATTGTCCTTTTTGAAAACATACACAATTGCCTATACATTCATATCACTTATCAACTTAACAAATATAAAACTACAACATGCTAGAAAGAGGTCATCACAGGACACTGACACGCTTCTGCTCTGCTGTGCCTCATGAGCCCTGCTTAGTCAAACAAGCAGAGTGCTGCCCAGTGACACATAACAGGTAAGACTGAAGAGCCGAAGAAACCCTAAGGGTAGGTGGAATCCTGTCAACTGAGGTAGATTTCTTTAAACATTTTAGAAAATGTTTTGTCCCTTGAGTTATGCCTAGAAGGTAGGATAGTTTTGGACTCTTCGGCTATGACAGAATGACGTCATCCTTGGTACAGGATGTGGGTGTATCTCAACAAAAGTCCATGAGATGCTTTGTTTTCTGAGAAGAGGCTGAATTTAAGACAAAGGAAACGTGAACACCCCACACCTTGGGAGCCAGGAGAAGAGCAGCACATCTTTCTCTGCAATAGCAAGAGACAGTGGGGTACTGAGATAACCCATGTGAGCCCAGGGTTTCCCACTTTTCCTCTGAAATTTGGAGCATTGGATTGAGAGGCAGGCTTAACTTTTTTCTGGCTATGAAGTGCTGGGCTAAGTTTTTCTTCATGAAACTGAGAATTAACCTGATGACAGCTCAATTCCCCGAGTCTGGCTGTCAACATGTTACTCTATCTACACAAGAAACTGATTCTATATTGAGTTATTTTCTCCAAAACCTCAGAAGCTGGTGAAAGATGCTGAGTCCACGTGTAAACGAGAGAAGCCAGGAGAAAGAAGGGAGAGCTCTAGGCTGGCAATGGTGGCTGAGGTCTGCTTTGACAGCTCATCCACACCAAGGAAAAACAAGTGCCTGGAAAGCCGAGCCGCATGTGGGGTTCCCTGGCAAACTAGGATATCACAGAGCCAGGAAACTGAAAAGAGCAAACAAATGTCCGGTAATAGAAAATGGAAGATATTTAAAAGAATGGGACACTTCAACTTTGTGAAATACGAAAAATGCAAATTAAAGATCTTAAGTGCCTTGAAGCAACATCTATTTTCACATATCACAGAAAAATGAGAGATGCTTAGGGCAAGAGGGAAAGGGGAAGGAGGAAGAGGAGGGAGAGGGAGAGGGAGAGAAGGAAAAGGAGGGAGGGGGTCATGAGAGTCCACACTCTGGCCCACTTCTAAGAGATAATGTCGGCATTTGTCCTCAGTAGCATAGGGAGCACATGGTCTCAGCTAACTTGTATTTGTAATGAAGAGAGACAAACATGTCGCATGGATTAGGATTTGATCAGATATAAACTAGAAGAGCCCCTAGAAGCTATCCCACATTCTCAGGCACCAGAAACTCGTGGGAAGACCGAGGAGCTGACAGTGTTTGACTTTACTTGACTGGCTCCTGTCTTTTTAAACACCAGAATTTTTGTTTTTAAAGTATTTCAACATGGACTGTTTTATGGTCAGTAAACTAAGGTTCTTTAGGTTTAATGACCAATTGGGCTTTTACAGTTCTTCACTTTGGTAAGTTTTACAAATGATCAAGTTAATTTCTGGAAAGATTTTTTTTTTTAAAGAAATATGAAAGGGATTAAAAAGTGCAGGACTGACAGTGTAAAAACTGAGATCGCACACGGACTGCTTCTCAATGTTCGGGCGCCTGCTGTCCTTGTCAGAGCTGCTGCAGGTTCCCTCCCTAGCTGGCAGCTGCACCTTACCACATGAACAGCACCAGCGCGGACTGCTAGGAGGAAAGAGGCTTGGGCTGGCCGAGCTCACCCACAAACCTCCTGAGCTCATGGAAACAACTTTGGTAAAAAGTCTTTCTGGAGAAGGCTAAAGACACTAAAGCCAGAGCTGAATACCCAGTGTCAGACTATGTACTCCAAAACACCTGACAGAACAGGGTGCTACATTGCATCCTGGGCTTATTACACCAGCAATCCCTCTTAGACCTGCCTGTGGCTGGACTGGAACCACAGGAAGCTCTGAGAAGTGACAACCGTGGGTCTCCAGAGCTCTCTCTCTCTCCTCTCAACAGACGATCCACATCCTGTGTCCAACAGTCGCTGCTGCAGCTCCGGGCTGACACTGGCAAAATGCCGCTTTCTTCAGGTCAATGTTCCTAGAAGAGCCCTGACCTAGGAGCCACAGCCTGTTCTTAGAACAACCCTTTATGTTCTCTCATGCTTAAATAGGAATATCTTCTTACTGGAATGTTCTAGACATTGGTTACCCCCTACTCCAGTCAGCCCTCAGCATTCTACCCAACAGCACAGGGGCGTCTGCCTACTTTGACCATGGTGCTTACGTTTCCCTCCCACCAGAAAGGTAACTTTCTTTTGATTCCTGGGAGGAGACAGTGGCTCAAAGTGATCTTGAACAATCACAAATTGCCACTGCGTGGAGTAAACGCAAGCCTCCCAGTGTAACAGCCACTAGGCAGCAGCCACACGAACAACGAGGGGCGGGCAACCGCTCCATGTTCTCAAGCCTCTGCGGTCACTGAGAGCTTCCTCCTTCCGGTCTCATTTTCCAATGAGAACTGTCCTGCAGTCGGCTATAAGAGGATCTGCGCCACGTACGGAGAGTGAGTGCTGGCGATGGCCGTCAGCAGAGGCAGGTCATTGGATTCAATCCTGAGTGTAGAAAAATTAAAGGAGAACATGTTAAAACTGCATCACTTCATAAGAAAGTATTATCTCTAGGCACCAGCTTCTTTGTCTAGCTCATCTTTGAAAATTAATGAAAACATAAAACAGGGATAGCAAGAAGGCTTGGCTGGTTGACACTGGCTGTCAAGGCTGATGACCTGAGTTTCATCCCTGGGACCCACATGATGAAGGAAAGAGAGAGAGAACTGACTTCTGCAAGTTGTCCTGACTCCCACACATGCACCCTGGCACATGCATCCTACACAGATCTACAAACATGAAATACATAAATAAAATGAACACATGTGAGTAAAAAAGATGAGGAAAAAGAAAAGACCTCCCAGTAGACACTGCTTCAAAGGAGGTTCGCCCTAGAGGACAGTGGCTGCTCTTCCCGCAGCAGGGGACATACAAGTCGAAGCCCATGGGTGACTTTTCTTATTCCTATGTCATGTCATGCTTTGTGGCCTCCTCAGCATCTCCTTCCTGTTGATGGCACACTGCTTTTGCAGTAAGCTTAAGTCAGTCTCAGCAAACAACAAGGCAGGTTCTCAAGCAACGGGTTCTGCAACTGACTGAGCTACCTAGTGAGTGTTCTGAGGAGAAGGAAACTAGGAAGAGGTGCCACCACTTCAGATGGACATGGTATGGGCTGACCCTTACAGCACATTGCTTATAATACGTTCTGGTAAAGTCCTGTAGGTATTGTGGGAAGGAAAGAACTGGAGGGCTTCAGTTTGAGAAATATATTCCAATTGTTTCTCTCAAAATTCAATTTTTTTCTAAGACTGGGAATGGCCATTTGCCGGAGTCAGACAGTAGGACAAAGTCCTGTAACAACAGGAACAGATCCAGCAATGGGGCACCTGAGGCAGGATTACAGTCTGTGGCTAAGAAGGAAAACCAACAGTACCTTCCTTGCAAGTTAACTGCAAAAGCTCAATGCCTCCAAAAGGGAAAATATTTTAAAATGGATTACCCCAAAAGAACGTATGACAGGTGTGCTGGTTTGAGTGAGAACAGTCCCCAGTCCCCATAGGCTCATCTATTTGAATGCTTAGTCTCTAGGGAGTGGCACTATTTGGAAGGATTAGCAGGATTAGGAGTGTACTTGATGGAGGAAGTGTGTCCCTGGAGGTGGGCTTTGAGGTTTTGAAAGGCAGGCCCAGTTTCTCTGTTTCTGCCTATGGTTCAGGATATAAAACTCTCACCTCCTTCTGCAGCACCATGTCTCTCTGTGTGCCACCATGCTTCCTGCCATGATGACAATAGACTAAACCTCTGAACCTGTAGGCCAGCCCCAATTAAATGCTTTCCTTTATAAGAGTTGCCTTGGTCATGGTGTCTTTTCATAGAGATAGAACAGTGACTAAGACAACAGGCAAAGCTAACTGTCTCATCTAGCTGTAAAAGATAGAAAATCTGATAAAAATTCAAGGCCTAACTATTAACTAATATTGTAAGAGCTGGAGAGATGGCTCAGCAGTTAAGAGCAAATGTTGCTCTTCTAAAAGACTGGGGTTCAGACCTAGCACCCATGTCTGGTGTCTCATAACTGCCTATAAGTCCAGCCTCAGGGGATCAGATATTCCTCTTCTGCCCTCCAAGTGCATCTGCATATATGTGGCATGCAAGTGCATTCATGTACACAAGAATAAGATAGTTTAGTAGCAGCAGCAGCAGCAGCAGCAGCAGCAGCAGCAGCACTAGTAGTAATAAAAAAAAAACACTTTGAGAGGCAGGCATGGTGGCACATGCTTGTAATACCAATAGTGGAGGGACTGAAGCTAAAGGATTCTGAATTTAAAGCCAGCCTAGGCCAAACAGTGATACCCCATCTCAGAAGCAAGCAAACAAACAAAGAAGCTTGTTCAAAAAGGAAAACAAAGTTAACTAAATAAAACAAAAATTTATCAGGCTTGGTAGAAAATTTAAAGGTTGACATAGGCATAGTACTATCTTATTCCAAATTAGCAGAATCATGTCAGGAATATGACAGCAATTCCTCACAGGTATAGTCCTTTTTGTTATTTCTATTGAAATAAAAGTGGAGTCAGAATTTTTGTAGATGAAGTGTGACAAGTGTCCTCAGAAGACAGTGTGCCTCCTTATTATTGTGCAGGTCTTCCTTTGGGTGGGGTGAGCTCAGGATGTCCACAGGAAGTGCCTCCCACCTCCTCTACCACAGGAGACAAGCCACCACTACTACTCTCAGCTTGTGACTTTTGCATTGTTACAGTATCACTAGTGATGAAGAGGCAGAATTAGATCAAATGCCACTCCAACCTACATGCTGAAACTCACTGGGGAATAGGCATACCTCTGAATATCCCTAGGCACAGTGAGAAATACTGATCCTATAGGTAGACAATGACACAGCCCAGTAGATTGTGTGCGTGTGTGTTTGCCTGTCTGTGTGTGTGAACCGCACCAGACTACAGCCAGTACACCTGGGAGAAAGGCCAGCCTTTCACAGAACTTACCCCAACACCACACTCAGCTCTTTCACGTGCACACGTGTGTGTCCCCGGAGATATTCTGAAAGCATTTTACTTTTGAGGTACATCTCCTGTAGCCTGTCTTCCAGATGCATGATGCACTGCAAAGCCAACAGCATTCACAATGAGCACTACAATTGCAGCATCCACCAGGATCTTTAGGAGCTCGGCTCCTCTTTAGTTCTTTCTACAAACACAGCTATAATTGTCCTCCTTTCAAATAAACCCCCAAACTATCAGCTTGAGTTTTTCATAAAACCGCTATTAACAATGCTATATAATACTATTCTAGCATCTTTAAAAGAAAATGTTTTACAGAATTGAAATCATTCCATAAGCATAAACATCCCCTGTCTTTCTGGCGTTTAAACTGTCAACTCTTTATCCTTGGAACCAGCCTCATGGTCAACACCATCCGTCACTGTGAGCACCATGTTCCTCCTTATGTGTATCAAACCCCTACTGAGCCATGAGTTTTGGGTTGCAAATGTGGATTTATTTTTGGACTCATCTTTATGTCTCTATTCACAAAATTTCTTGTCATAAAGAAACTTAACAATAATCCCATATTTAAGAATTCCTCACTATGCCATTTTTATGGCCAATGCTCTAGAGATGTTAACTTACCATTATTTACTTAGCCATGGAGCAATCTACACTTGGGCTATAATTTTGTGAAAATGTTTTAGTTCTTGTTTTCTTCCTACACCTCAGGTTGTTTTGGCATAATGCATTCCCAAAAGCAGAATGATTGGAACAAGGTCCCTTCAGACTTTTATTCTGGTATCGAGAGTATCCCGTAACTAAGATTTTAGTAGCAATAGGGACATGATTTGGGGGACATCTTCACCCTTGGGATGGTGTCCAGCCTCAGTGGTTAGAGAACAGTAGCCATCTATGCCTCTCACGGGCAGCAGATGCTTCTGTACTTGGGAGACACCTGACGGCTTTGGCAGGGTAATTCCATCATGCATAATTTCCTCCTAGACCATTGGGCCCCTTATTTTCAAGGTAAAAAGATTAACAGATGCATTTGAAAATGTTGGTCCTGACCATCTGGGTTGATCAATGTCAGGGCAAAGTGTCTGTGAGATGTGGACACTTTTCAGTTTCTCATTGGTTAGCATCTTAGGTACTGTGCTAGGGATGAGCACAACATCCTGAAGTACTACTCAGGCCAGGGGGACAACACCGATCTTCTCAGAAATGGTCCCCTAAATGAACAGAGGGAGGTAGTTGAGGGACTTTTTACCAAGTTTTAGTTTGTTATGGAGTGAATTGAAATTTTTAATAAGAGTTACAAGATACGCCAGGCAGTGGTGGCGCACACCTTTAATCCCAGCACTTAGGAGTCAGAGGCAGGTGGATTTCTGAGTTTGAGGCCAGCCTGGTCTACAGAGTGAATTCCAGGACATCCAGAGATACACAGAGAAATCCTGTCTTGAAAAACCAAAAAGAACACCCCCCCAAAAAAGTTACAAGATACAAAGAACATTCAAATTACATTGACTTCTTTAAGTTGTAAAGTGGTTTATGTATTGCATCTTTAGTCTACAGGAAATGTATATGATGCATTGTGGCTCTAGGAATGTATGCTAAATGAAAAAAACACATTTACAAAAAAAATATTTTTTTAAAGCTTCATAATCAAATAGAATCAAATAGTGGTTTTCCCTTCTTTGTAAGGTTTTATTCCTGAGATGTGATGCAATTCTCAACTTCTAAAATTTAGCTATTTTTTCCTTTCATCTGTAAGTAATGCTTAGATGAATTCTTTTGGATCTTGGTTTTCCCAGGTTAAGTAAGTCATTCATTTATTACTAAGTGGTCATGTATACTTCTACCAAATGAAGTGAAAGGAATGTTCTATAATTTATTGCTTTGATAGTTAAGATGTCAGACAATGAAAACTATGTCTTAGATAATTCAACATCAGCATCTATAAAGACAGCGATGTGCCACCACAGGGTCTAATATCTCCTCCTTCCCTTACAGAAAAGGAAACTCAGGTCTCAAAATCAGGACAAATGACAGTGCTTCTAGGAGAAAATCAGATCATAATAACCCTGAGTGCTTCTCCTGATACCTCTTGGACAGACAGCCTGAAGAGCATGCTTCAGTTAAGAGCCAAATAAAGATTGTTATAAATAAAGATTGTTATGAAAGGTGTTGCCAGTTCTTACAGCATCGATACTGTTGAACTGTCACCAAGACATGCCAATCATACCAACTTTCTGATGGCTTGTAAAATCTACCATGGTTCCAAGTGCTTCGTATGAACTAACTAATTTTCCTAAGCATATGAAGCAGACTCATATGCTTATTCATTCTTCCAGATATACACATAAGGGAACTGAGGCTCTGGGAGCTTACACAGCACAGAAGTAGAACTCAGAGTTGGCTATCATGCCCACCCTTTGACTGTGAATATATATGCAAGTGGCTTTAAAGCCACCTGTGCTGGTGTGGCACTTTCACACTTTTGAAAAAAAAAAAAGCACCGCTACCTCTCTGGTCCTCAGAGCATCCTTATAGCATATCTGTAACATCTTCATGTTGCAAACAGGAGACCTAAGCTTCAAATATATACAGAATCATCCACCACACAAGTAGTGATGGCCAAGTGAAACCCAGGGATGCTCCAAGGCTTTCCTGACCTGCTGCTGTGTGACAGCGTTCATAGCCATCCTTTAGAAAGCCAGCATCAAATCCTGATTGTGTGTGGAAAGTGGAGCAACTGAGGACCTGGCCATAAGAATTTAGAGGTGACCAGTGAAGTGGCAGTCAGTGTATTAACTGATACTCAGCTTCCCGCTTTGCTGTTAAGTAGTTCTGTGCTGTTTCCCGAGGCCAGGAGGGAGACGCAAGTTTTGAATTCAGGCTTTGCTGCAGAAAGCAACCCTGCACTGAATGGAAGGAAGCAGAAAAGGCAGGCACTCCCAAGTATTGTCCCTAAGGCCAGCATAACTAAGCTGCCCAGCTATATGCCTTTCATTCCTCTCCTTGACAAAGCTTTCTCTCTCATTCTCTGGATATACATTTAAAACACATACCACGTATCAAAAGAAATTTGTTAAATATATCCCACGGACTAGGGACTAGGACTTTCTAGGCTGTTCTTCATTTTATTTAGAATGTTACAAACGTGATCTTTAAATCCCGCTTGGAAAGGAACAGCTGACGCCATGTTATACGTTCTTACACAGAACTTTCAAACTTGAAGTGCTTCCATTCGCCTGGAATGGACTGTGAGGATACTCACAGAACAGAAGAAACTACGATCCCTTCAGAAACTGGCCCGCCTCGGACCCAATGGAGGACTTGAAGTTTCTTTTTAGGCTCAGTTCCCCCTTATCTACTTTACTATCTGCTTTATTCAGAAGATACTGCCCTCTGCTCCATCAAAGCTCTGCCCTGTCTGCAGGTCTGATGTTGCATGCTCCATTTTTCTTTAATGCTAACTAACCTTCAATATATTAAAAATGATGTGTCTGAACTTGTGATTTTTATAATCAAAATACTGAATAAAAGTTACTTTTCAATTATAAAGTCATTGACGACAGAAGAGCAAATACTTACAAAATCAGCAGGGAGGTGAAGCTTATAGAGCTGTAAGATGGACTGAAGTAAACTGGACACCTGACTAGAGACCAAGACATCCTGGCCCAGCTTCATGGTGTCCATCACTTTCCTCTGACTCGTGGCCACCTGGACAGTCCACTTGTCAGTGTCTGCAATGATACAGACAGCTTCGGCTATCGGTTCATCGAGCACTGGATGCTGAAAGGGAGAGAGAGTGGGTCAGCATCCTCCAGCTCAGAATGGGCAGAGGGCTTTGTCTGAGATTAGAGGACGAAGGTGTGAACTACAGAAGCATGGAGCTTTACAGGTACTTAGAAAGGTGTGCCACCAAAGCAGCACTTAAAATTAACTAGCTAGGAGCGGTGGGATGGTTCAAAGGGTAGGTTCTTCTTAGCAAGCCTAAAATCCAAGTTCAGAGGGAGAGACTTTCAAGTTGTCCTCTCACCTACAAATGTGCTGTGAGATATATATATATATATATATTTTATACACACACACACACACACACACTTTTAAGGCATTTTTCATAAAATCATTTTCAGAAAAGTTACAAGGTGTTAAGAGTTCATAGATACACAAAAGGACATGGTTTCCCAACATTTACTATATTAAATTTACTGTCTTTATGAATGATTGTGTTCCCATTTAGAGTGAGGAAAATCAAAATAAGTTGAAGGATCCTATTGTTATTTTTCCAATAAAAAGAGAGTTCTGTATGAGCAGAACCCATGTTTTTCTGTTTCTGTTTTTGTTTTTTTAAACCAAACTAGACATGGTGGTATATACTTCCAGCCCTGGGGAGGTGGAAAAAGTAATAGCCTTGGGGTCCCCGGCTGGTCAGCCGAGCCCAATTGGTGAGTGCTGAGTCTCAGTGAGAGAGATTCTATCTCACAAAACAAGGTAGATGGGACTGGAGAAATGGTTTAAGAAAACCCCCTCTTCTTCCAAAGGACTGCAGTTTGGTTCCCAGCACCTTTTAAGTAGCACACAACAGCCTGTAACTACCTCTAGGGATTTTAATGGCCTCTTCTGGCCACTGTGATTACCTGAACATGTGTAGCAGACACACACACACACACGTGTGTGACACCATTACCACCATCAGCACCAATTCCTTAAAGTTATAGCTTTAATTGTTAAGCAAAGTTTCTTTAGTAACTGTGGTTGTACACACCAATCATTTCTAGTAATTATAATCAGGCCGAGGACTTATTTATCCAGAAAAATCTAAAAGGTCAAAGTCTGGCTGCTGAGACACATACTTAAAATGTAAAAATGCTTCATAATAAACAGTTTAAACATCTGTAATGATTAATCTCAGCTGTCGAGTGAGATTTAGATCATGCTTGTAAAGGATTGTCTTGATTGGGATATTTAAGGTGGGAAGACTGGCTCATGATGGGTGGCACCATTCCCTAGGCTGGGATCCTGGACTCTATAAAAAGGAGAAAGTGAAGAGCACAAGCATTCATTATTCTCTGCTGCTTCTCCACAGATGCAATGTGACCAGCTGTACAGAGGCTCCTGCTGCTGTGACTTTGCTGCAATGACAGACTATAACCTCAAACAGTGAGCCAAAATGAACCCTTCTAATCTAAGCTGGTTTTGTCAGGGTATTATATCACCGTAACAGAAAAAAACTAAGACGACTTTGAAACATCAGAGAAAATGGCCTTATAAATATCTCATCTCTCAAACTAGGCTTTTGTTCTACCTGTAGTTGCTCTGAACTTCTACTGCTGCCTTCCTGTGGCAACTCAAGAGAGATACAGATATTCACGATGAAAACTTTGAAGTTCTGTAGTTGTTAAATAGCTAAGCTAGTGAATCATATATGTGATAAGTTAGTAGGAGGCGCTGATGGTAAAATAGTAAAAGCTCCTCATGGATGGTCTTTATCCAAGTCCAGTGCTTCAAGTCTTGTATATGCTCTATGGGTGGTATCAACAGCAGCATTTTACAGGACCCCACTGAGCCCTGACACCCTGTACCCACCGATATGCTATAGGAGGCTTTTTACCAGTCAGCTACTTGTTTTTTTCATCTGGAGTTATTTCTCCTAGTTTCTGTGGGATAATTTTGAGACTGTTGATATTCTATACTTACATCTTCAGAAAGGCTGTTTTTCTGATTAATTTTCTTAATGCCTGACTTTTAAAACTGATCTCAAAATTTGAGAGCACAGATCTAAATAAGTAGGTGTGATATTTTATAATGATTGTTTTTACGATGGAGAAATTGTTTCTCAGAAATACTAGTCATGTTAGATTTCCTAGCCTTAAGCAAGTGTCCCATGGTTCATGTGACAGACATGTATCTATCATTTTATGTTGGAAGGGTGCTGGTGTGCTATATGGAAGTTTGTCTTTTACACTCCTTTGGACCTTTTTGTCTTGTTTATTGATGTAATTTACATGTCACAATCCACTCATTATATATGTAAATTGGATGAGCTTTAACAAATGTATATAGTTGTGTACCCACTGTCATAATCATGTATTAGAATCTTGCAGGACCCACAGAAGTTCAAGTTCCTTTGGAGTCAGTTCCTTATAGTTAGTTATCCTAGCAACAACTAATATGCTTTCTAGAACTGAAGTGGATAGGTATGGCTTATTTAACCAGCTCTGTAGTGTCACGTGATGTTGTCTTATAAAAGGGCATGTGATGCTTTGCTGAAAACAGACACTTGAGGTGTGTGATGTTTAGAAAGAATATAAATGGAGCCCCAGACATAGAGGGAGGAAGCTCTTATATTGCTATGCCATGCAATGCTTCACTATCTGATCTTTGCTGGTCTTCACTTTATAGAGAGAAATGTGCCAAAGAACTTCTCGTGGTATTCCAGCTGATTCTGGCTGCTTCCACTGACATGTGCCTATTTGGTGGAGCCTTGCTGTTTCTGCTGGATCAAGCCACTGCTACTGATTTGTGTTTGGTGTTTGCTGTTGGAAGTGGGCTGCTGATATCCTGACAACAAAGAGTGGAGTCACCCCAAGGAATTACTTCTAAACAGGTCCACAACACCCTTTCCCTATTAACCTTCCCTTTCCTCTACCTCTGGTCAGTGGGTTAGAAGGGAGGTTGAAGCGTTTAAGAACCCTAAATAAAGTAGGTTTTGAAAAGTCTAAGCCTACATAGAACTGTTGTTCTGACTTTTGTAGAATTTCATATAAATAAGATCATATGGTCCATAGTCTTTTGTGTCTGGCTTCTTTAAAAATAGTGCTTTTAAGATATAGCTGTAATTATTGCACCTTAGTGCCTTATTTTTGTTTTTGAATATCCCCTTGTAAGAGCATAGCACATTTTTTTTTAAAAAATCGAGATGACACAGCTATATTGCTCTTGACCTATGTGTCTATAACTCCAGTTCTAGAGAATCTGCCATTTTCTGTAGAGACTAGCTATGCATATGGTACATATGCTTATATGCAAACATACATATAAAATAAAAAATAAATTGAGAGAGAAAGAGGGGGAGAGGGAGGGAGGAAGGGGAGAGACAGACAGACAGACAGACAGAGGGGGGGAGGGGGAGAGAGAGAGAGATATTCTTTCAAAGGTTTGTCCATTAAGAACAAAACAGCAGGGCTAGAGAGATGGATCAGAGGTTAAGAGCACTGAGTGTTCTTCCAGAGGTCCTGAGTTCAATCCCCACCAGTCCCATAGTGGTTCATGATCTCATAATGAGATCTGGTGCCTTCTTTTGGTCTGCATGCATACATGGTTGTAGAACACTATACATAATAAATAAATCTTTAAAAAGAACAACCAGCTGTGAGCATTCATATTTACAAATCTTAGTGTGAACATGCTTTTACTTCTTGAATAAATACTGAGTGGAAATGCTAGTTCATGTGGTAAGTGCAGGCCTAACTTTGCAAAGTGGCTCAGCTGCCATCTGCTACAAATCCCAGCATTATCTGTTACTTTGTATCAATCCTAGCACCAGGCTGCACTTTTTCAATTGTAGCCATCATACAGGGTGTGCAGCCATTTTTTATTTGCATTTTCCTAATAAATAATGAAACAACATATTTTCACATTTGTTCCTATGATTTAAAAAACAAAACTGATTAAAAAGTGACTGCTTCACCAGCAGTGCCTTCTGACAGACCCCACTGTGTCCTCCATGCAGACGAAGGCCTCCCAATAGCACAGCGGTCATAGCCCCATGCTCTGCCCCTTGCCCTAGTGTAGGAGACTGTATGGCCAATGCCTGTGAGCATTGTGTCCTAACTCGTTTCCTAAAGAAAACCAGTACTGGCTGCCTTCTGCCTTTATTTAATACCATCCAGCTCTGTGCTGGTCTTTTATTGGTTTGAGCTGCTAATCAGCACATCCTAACCTTCTTCTGGATAAGGCCTGGTGAGTCTGTAAGCAGGCTGCTGTCTCCCCTCTATCGAGGTGCCCATGCCCTAGCGAGCCAATACTCCCTCCCTGAGATCCAGGAGTGAGGACAGGTGCCTGGCAGCACTGGGCAGCACTGCCACATTTCTCCCCAACAGCACTTAGGACAGTTCCTTGTGCTTTCTGGGCCTGGTCTGCTGTTACCCTGTTTCTTCTGTTGCTCTCACCAACTCTGTGTGTTTCTCATATCCTTCCAATAGAGTGTCTTCTGCTTCCTTTATGTCAGCTGGGTTCTGCTAACCAAGATCCTAAACACGCACAGCAGCCACGGGGCAAGTCACTGCGGTACGAGGTACGGGAAGGTTGCAAAGAAAAATCAAACATGTACAGCACAGAAGAGTCATTTTAACAGAGGCTATCATTTCCTAGTTTGTCCTGGATGCTGTTATCCAAAGGGGAAGTAATGCAGCCCTGATTTTCTTCTCACAGATGAGAAGTGTCTGATGGACTGTGTGCAAAGTTCGGGGACCAACATTCTTCTTGTTCTGTTTCCAAGGGTTTGCAGGGTTTATATTTTTTATTACTGAAAGGGTCAGCAACTATGTAAGGTCTAATTGTCCAACATTTATTTAAGCAAAAGTATCAATGAAGACTATGATAAAGTACTTTGCATGTATGAGGCCATTTTTCCTAAGACATTTCTCATGGTATAGTCTTGCTTACAGAAGGTTCCAAGGTTTTCCCACACACCCTGATCACCCTCACACTTCTCGCACATTAAATGCATTCTCCACAACAGAAAGCTAAAGACCCATGGGCTGGGGTGCAGCTCAGTGCTGGCTTCT